ATAGTTTTTGTGTTTAATTGTTTGGATAATTTAATTTTCTTAGCATATGGATACTTAGTACTTACATAATTTTCTTCAGATCCTGTGTCTATTAATAAATATACTGGATTGCCATCAGGTGATGTCCTTTGGAGTGTGGGCAACCCATTCCTTAGTATAAAAAATGTTTCTGACGGCTGTGCTCACTAGTTGACTGTTCATTGTAGAGGGAATCATTACCGTGCTCGTCTCTGGTGATTTGATTGAGTTTCCTGTCTTTCAATCGTTGCTGGTTAAATGAATTTTCTCGATCTCGTTTCCTGAAATTGTTTATGGGATTTCGGAAAGGATTGAAGCATTGTCCTTGCTGTTGGAGTTGTTGAGCTTGCTGGCCGTTGTTTGTTGTTGCTTGTTGATGTTGTGTAGGTCATCTGTATTGGAAAGACGAGTCTACATCCATCGGCTCTATTGCTTTCCTGGGCTGGTTGAACGGCTGTTGTTGAACATATGGATTTTTTGTAGGTTGATGAATCCTTGGTGAGTACTCTAGGAACTGGTACTGCGCATCGTGTTGCATAGTACGTGCTATGGCGTATGGTTCCACTATGTTCTTACATCCTCTGGAGTATAGAGCATTCTTTATTGCTATGCTTCTGAGTCCTGCTATAAATGTGCGAACTGCTTTAATTGAAGTTTAGTTTGCTATTATTATTTATCAGTACTGGTGCGGCTGTTCCAATAATTTTTGACTGCATCATCATGAGTGCTTGGATATATTTATTATGTCCTTCGAAGTTCTTGATACTATCCATTAATCTCTTCTGGTCTCCGTTGAATGTGGTGAGGATTTTAAACATATTTAAATCAATTTCTTCTGGACTTGTAAATGAACATTTGTAATCCGTTGATGGAGGTGGGAGGCTCAGATGATCGTTTTCTTGTATACACATCCTTCGTTGTAGATCTGCTTTTACTACTTGCATAGCTGCTACTTCTGCTAAAGTTGCCATTTTTATAATTTTTTTCTTTTTCTAATTTTTCACTTTATTATAAATTTTTCACTGTTTTTCTTTATTTATGTATCTTTCTATGAAGGTGTGTTTTGTTTTATGAGACTATGTCCCTTGTACATTTTACGACCGACTTATAGAAGGATTTTATATCCGGAATCCTTGTTATGCGGTCCCTGCTCGGGCTCCAGTTATTTTCTTTATTTATGAATATAATTTAAGTCCAATGAAGAACTGATTCTTTATTTATTAAATATGTACTTATATCTATGACAATGTACAATGAACAAAGAACCTATATTATTGTGTTATTGTGTTTCTTTATATAGCATTTCTTGTAATGTGTTATCGATATGTGATTTGCTGAAGTGTTTTGGTGTCGCGTGTATTATTGAGGACTTTGGTTGATAGATATATTAACTCAGGCGAACAGTAAAAGAGAAAAGTAAGAAAGACGGATTAAGGTCCGAAAATAAGAAACAGAAAATGTCGAAAAAACACTCGAAATGCAAAGACACGACTTATCGGAGCGAGAGCTAGTCGATCACTGGTATAAAACTAATTTTAAGGTCTTAAGGTCTTAGATTGCAAATTTTATTGTTGCGTTAAATTTTAAAATAATATTTATCAAAGAATCTCTTCTCAAATACGAGTTACTCCGCTTCATAGTATTTTCTACAAATATACAAGTATTTCTTGAGGCTGTACTAATTTATTGCCTTTGTACCGCAGTGTATTTATTAATTGTTGCAGTTGTTTTTGGTATATATAATATTACATTGCATTTGCACCCCTTTTTTATTTAATTTAAGTGGTGATCATAATTTCATGAGTAGTTACAAGCGTTGCTTGGCTAGCAAATTACAATTTTCATTTCATCTTCCAAGTTTTCAGCGATCACGCTACAAATTAAAAGTGTTTTGCACCGAAATATCTGCAAACCATAAAGCAACAAATAATAAAATTGTAAGTTCAAAATTAAAAGTGAAAATTTTCACACAAAATCTCGTGCCACTTTTCCCTGCATTGAAAGCGAAGGCAATGTACTGCAAAATGTACATGAAATAACATGAATATGCTCAGCATTAAAATTACATGCAACAATATGATTGAAACAAACTATGCTTCGTTCATTGTAGTTAGTCGGAGCGTAACGGTACATAATTTGTCTGCAGGTGTCAAAGATATTTTTAGGGTTCAGCTATTATACATAACCTAATAGAGGAGTGATCAATGGCTACGTTTGCATTTGTACTTTGAATTGCGTCGGTGTTGACAAAAATTTCAATCATAATTTGAGATGAATGCATAATGGCTCACAAATATTTTCGACGCATTGCACAGAACAACGCAAGATTTAAACAGAGGTTGTGGTGTCTCTTTACTGTCGGGTGATTTCCAACAGACATGTATTCCTCGCCTTTCTTAATCCAATGAGATTAGCAACTGTTTAAACAATTGTGTGTATGGTGAAGTGTTGAGACATTTCGGTTGGTCCTGAATATGCGTATACAATTGGAAATTGATTAATCAGCAGAAATAACGGGTGATCCAAGTATAGGTACTTTTTTCAATAGAATTCTTCATCAGATCACACGTGGGTCGCGTCAAGCTGTCACTTACTACAGAACAATGTTTACAAATCTTTTAATTTTAATTAAAGAAAGTGTTTAACGCGCTTCGCTCAACTTATGGTCAACATAGTAGGCCTACTGAGCGTACTATTCGTAATGAGTATCATCACCGATCTTGAGACCATGAGTATACACGAAGACCGTGGAAAGTCGATTTGGAGCCGTTCGCATCAACTCGGACTGACGTATGAAACGACTTGGCGCATTTTACGTCGATATCTTAAACTGAAAGCGTACAAAATAAATGTTGGCCAAGAACTGAAGCCGCTCGATATCCGGCGTTTTCGAGCCAAAATTTGTTCAGCCTACCATGGCTACCATTAACGCTATTTGATGTCTGAAATTGAAGCTTGTGATCCCGGCGACAATTGGTTTCAACAAAACGCGGACACTTTCCACACATCGCATCAATTAATGGATATATTGAGAGAGCACTTCGGTGAGCAAATAATTTCACGTTTTGGGCTGGTCGATTTTCCACCAAGATATCACACCGTTTTTTCCTGTGGAGATATGTAAAGTCTAAAGTATATGCAGACGATTCGTCTTCGATTCATTCCGTGGAGTAAAACATCACGCGTGTCATTCGCTACTGTCTTTTATGGAAATGAAAACGAAACTTTTCAAACTGTGTTCTAACTTCTGGAATGGCATAACATAATCTTCGATAGGAAATTGGTTCAACTCTTATTTGGCGTAATGTGAATCCACCGAATTAAAATATAAAAAATAAAAATATCTCATTAAATACTATTAAAGCAACCATTGACTGAAAATGCACCACTTGCCACGTATTCCCATGATGTTTTCAGAATAAATGATTCTGTTCAGGTGGCTATACTTCCCCAATGGAGTGTGGGAAAATCATCGAATCAGTTTGAACCTAACTAAGAATATTATTCAACAAATAAATATGAATAAAAGGAAATTTTAAAATGATTATAATTAAAAACAGTAAATATTATTGCTAAAAATTGAGAATTATCCACCCTGGCTATTTAATAAGTTATAAACCAACAAATACAAAATAAAAATTCAAGAAGTTGATGGGCTTATAAGCAAATCATAGAAAATGTGTATCAATTATTTAAAAAAATTTAAGTAATGTTCAGAATTATGATAGAAAAATTACTATAAAAATGTGGAAATAAGAAGTTGAAATCTACTAAAATATGAATTATAGCATATAAATAAGTTATAAATTCTGATACTTAGAAAATACTTTTAAAGGAATAAAAACAGATGTAAATATTTACTTAAAATAATCAGAATTAATAGGTTTATATCAGAATTAATAGGTTTATGACTTATAATGACTATAATTATTTTCCAAGTAACAATTTTTGTCACAGAGTTAGACTTTATCCATTGGTTGGAACTCGAATATGCAATACTTAGGCAATAAATTGATTTGTTACACTTTCATAGTAATTGCAAAAATGCCGTTCCTATGGAGTGGAATTATTCTAAAGGAAAAGGGACGAAACTGTCGTAATCAATATTTCTACAATTATTACAATGTGCTTCAGTAGCGGACACATGGTCGTAATTTAATTATGTACATAATATTGTACATGTGGTGCATAGTCCTCGTAAATATTTTGCCGTTTACAAGCTCCAGAGCAGCATATTTGTTAAAGGTTGAGAATGAAATCAATACTATGGAAGAAAAACCTTGACATCGAATATTATTGATATGTATATAGTATTAGTTGGTTCAATGCGAATTTCGCAACATCTTCAGCGCATACTTTATTTGTAAAGAGTTTGTAAAGTGAGAAATAACGCATGAAATCATTAACAAAACCACAAAAATTTACCACATTACCAAAAGTATTGGCAACAATAAACAAACAGTGAAATGTAAATGTAATTATGCATGTATAAGTGAGTCATTAGCCTATTGTGCATTTGCGAGCTTGTTGCTTAACTCTTTTGCTGTATTTCTCAGTTTCGTAGGAAGCTGAGAGGTGAGTCAACGATGTCAATTTGACAATATTGAAAATATTAAAATGTGCCTTAAAAATTAAACGTGGAATTCAAATACAATAATTTGTGACCGATAAGAATTTGGGAATTTGTAATATTTGCCATAACGACTCTTAAGATTGACATCCTATTCCAGAAAATACAAAAAAATTCAATTTTGATAACTCATAAAACTATAAATTCACATTATTTTACGATACTCATGTAGTTAATTTGAAAAAAAGGAAATTTAATAAATAGTTAAGTACATAAGTCTAAGTTTTGCCGCATTTGATAATTACGTACGCCCGCAATATGTGAGTATGAGAGGAGGCAATTAAATTAAAAATCATTATTAGTTGAAACTGCCATCGATTGGTCCCATTCATCATACTAGAATATGATTAAATAACATGAATTTATTATTTTACTCGGTATAAAGGTAGGCCAATGTAAGTGCTTCATCAAATTTTGAAAACATTTATTTTTCGTTAACCTTAACAGATGCCTTTTTTATTTCTCCAAACGCTTATACGGATATTAGCCCAACCACAAACCAATTTCAATATTATCAATATATGACGATATCTACAGGTTTTTCAAATTGTGGGCTTTCTTTGCTTTCAAATATTTTGATTATTTCTCTTACCACTCAGATGGAAGAGAGCCTGATTGGAGAAGATGATTTATTTAATTATTTATTATTAGTTTAAAATTTAATAATTTGTAAACGTTGTTCTTGAGTATATCTTTCTATGATGAAGTTGTAAACATTAATTAATACAATGGAATTAAATTATAGGCACATTAAAAATGGCCGAAACGATCCTATTAGAAAACCCGATAATTTTCCTCCTTTGGAAGGACAAAAAAATGAAAATGATATTGCCAAATACCGTTGTCAATTTTGACGGATTGTTTCCTTTTTAAATGAATATATAATGCCTTCAAAATTTTTGGATAGGTTCTTACAGACGTTTGGTAAGAAATGCAACCGAAAATATTAATTTTATTGCAACAGATAACAGTGTAATGAAATATTAGGCTATATATTTAATAAATTTTTCTAATTTTTTCTTTATTATTTGACATAATTTAAACGATTATTATTATGAAATACTGAAATTGAATAGTAATTTCGTTAAAATTGTCCTAACTATGAAGATAAGATATAAGTAACAAGAAAAAAACGTTAACTTCGGTTGCATCGAATACCTTTCACAAATACGAAAGATGCCTTTTATACAAACACTTGATTCCGATCGTTCAGTTTGTATGGCAGCTATTCGCTACAGTATGACATATGAGCAGATTTTTTGTGAGAAAAGGATGGGTGTAGAATTCAGACCGATATCTCTAAAACTTAGGGACTAGTTTGTATATACATATATAGAGACTGAGGGGCGGAAGGATAGACAGACAGACGGACACGGCTAAATCGATTCAATTCATCAACTGATCATATAAAAACTTTATTTTCTTTTTCCTTTCGTGTGTTACAAACAGCGTGGCAAACTTAATATACCCTCTTAAAATGCTATTAACCTTATTAACATTTCAATTTAAGAAGTAAAAGAAAGTATAAAATCGATGGCAGGTATTAGGT